GGGAATCGAACTCATGCAGAAGTGGCTTTAGCCTCTCAATGCTGTGCTTTAACCCACTGCGCCACCAGGGAGGGCCGGGGGCAAGTATTTTTAGCGAAAATACATACAAAGGACTTTCAGCATCCTTAACCAGACTAACTAATACAGGTGGCTCTCTGGAAATCAGGAATTTGAAGACCAAAGGAGCTGACTACTACTCTGAATGTGAAAACAGCAGTGTTCCTCACCAGGAACAGTGTTCCTCAAGAAACATGAAAAAATCACAGGAACAGACTCCATCAAAGGAGCAGATGATTTTTACTACCCAAAGAAATGGATTTATAAATTCCTTTATAAAGAATTAAAAATAATTATTTTAAGAAAGCTCAGCAAACAATGAGAGAACTCAAGCAGCTCAAAATCAGAACAACTGTGAGCAAAACAGGAGGTTCGCTAGAGATAAATAGCAACAAAAAATTTCATCTTGAGGATGCAATGAATGAATTGAAAAATGTAATAGAGTCAACAGAAGGCTTGATCAAGCAGTACCATTTGTGGACTTGAAAACAGATTATTTGAAATTGACTTGCTTAGAGGAGAAAAAAGCAGTAAAGCTTCTGTGAAATATGAGATATTCATATTTTCTGAGTCACAGAAAGAAAAGATAGACAAAAAATTTATTTGAAAAATAAAGGCTGACATTCTCAAACCTGGGAAGACATAGATATATGTATATCCAGGTACATGACGTTTATAGAGCAACAGTAGATTGAACACAAGGAGGATTTAATTGAGATATGTTATAATGAATCTCAGAAATCACAAAGAATTTTTTAAAGCAGTGGTTCATCTGATATAAAACTGTTGGTGCATATTTCACATGAAACTTTGCAGGCTAAGAAAAAAAATGGGACGATATATATTCAGAATACTGAGAGAACAAAAGTGCTAACCAAGAATACTCTGTCCAGCAGTTCTGCCCTTCAGGAATCGAAGCTAGATAAGGACTTTTACAGAAAAACAAAAACTGACAGCTTAAATTACTAGACCTACCTTACAAGAAATGTTAAAAGGGGCTCTTGAAGCTGAAATGAAAGGTTGCTAATTAGTAACATGAAAACATATGAAAGTATAAAACTTAAGTGGCAAAGGTAAATACATAGGCAAATTCATAATACCCTAATGTAATGGTGGTGTGTAAGTCACTTAGCCATAAGTTAAAAGACAAAGGTATTTTAAAAATATAATTTAGGGATGTACAATATAAAATAGAATGTCAGAATCCAAAACATGGGGAAGGGAGTAAATGAGGGTACAGTTTTTATGTGTTTTGCTTAGTTGTTATCACCCTGAAATAGACTGATAAAAACTATTTTGTTAAGCCTCATGGTAACAAAAGCCCCAAATAGACACACAAAAGATAAGGAGAAAGGAATCAAAAGAGTACTGCTATGGAAAACCATCAGGTCACAAAGAAAGACAGTGAGAAAAGCAAAGAAACAAGGAAATTAAAAAAGCTAGAAAGCAATGAATAAGATAGCAATTTTAAGTTCATATCTGATCTAACAAAACAAAACTCAACTGCGCCTACAAGAGACTCATTTCAGTTTTAAAAGCACACATAAGATCAAAGGGATAGTAAAGGATGCTCCATTAGGGCCCTCCTCGTGGCTCAGCGGATTAAAGCACACAACCAAGAAGCTAAAGTCACCTCAGCATGAGTTCGATCCTCACCCTGGAGGTGATCCACATGGTGCTGCAGACCTCTCCTGACCTGCCTGCTGCTCCCCTCAGCAGTGTACTTAGTCAGTTTCTGCTCTCCACTTGTGTGCATAAATTTTTTTTTTTAAAGATACTCCACTTAACTGAAAAGCCAAAGAGAGCAGGTTAACTATATAACTTATGTCAAAATACTCTAGAAAATAATTGTTAATAGTGACAAAAAAGAAATTATATGATGATACAAGGTTCAGTTCAAGAGGACATAATAATAATAAATATGTGTGAACATAAGACTGAAACAAATATCTACAATAATTAAGGAGGAACTTCATTATGCTACTTTCATTAATGGATAGATCATCCAGATAGATCATTAATAAGGAAATAATGAATGGACTTGTCACTATATTTAGATTGAATGTACTTTCGTTTTGAGAAGAAATATACATTTCTTCTTGAGAAGAATATACATTCTTCTCAGTCTCACACAAAATATTTTCCAGGATAAATAACATGTTAGACAAGTTTTAACAAAATGAAGAATTTGGAATCATATCAAACATCTTTAACTATCTAGAAGTCAATAACGGGAGGAAAGCTGGAAAATAAACCCATAAGTGAAAATTAACCAATCAGTGAACCCCTGAACATCCAGTAAATCAAAAAAAAATCTTGAAATAAAAATGGAAGCACCAAAATTTAGGGCATTCAGCTTAAGTAATTCTAAGAGGAAGTTTTTTATAGTAAGTGCCTATATTAAGAAAAAAAGAAAGCCCCCCCCCCCCAACAACCTGACTTTTACTGTAAGGAGCTAGGAAAAGAACAAAATAAGCCAAATGTTGGTAGAAGGAAGAAAAATAACAGTAGAGAAAAATATAATAGCAGTGGGAAATATCAACTAAGATAGATTAAAAACTATTATCTTTTAAATTGATAAAAAATAGAGAAACTGGCCCTCCCTGGTGGCACAGCGGGTTAAAGCACTGCACTAAGAAGCTAAAGCCACTTCTGCGTGAGTTCAATTCCCGCCTGCCCCAGAGGTGACCATATGGCGAGGCAGACCTCTCCTGATCCACCCGCTGCTCCCCTCAGCAGTGTACTTTGTCGATCTGCCTGTTCTGCTCCCCATTCTGTCCCTGGTGAATCCTCTCACCCTTCGCATGTCTGGCCTGTACCCCAGTTCTGTATGAATAAATAAATATTAAAAAAAGAAAGAAAGAAACTTTAAAATAAGAGAAAAAACATATAAATTCAGAAATGAAACTAACCATTATGTCTGACACAGCAAAACAAAAGCTCCTAAGTGACTACCATGGCACCAACAAATTGAGTAACCTAGAAAAAATGGGTTAAACCTAGAACAAATTAATGTCTAGCAACATACAAACTAGCAAGATTGAATCAAGAAGCAGAAAATCTGACTAGATCTGTAACTAACAAGAATTCTAGCCATAAAATGAAAATCTCAGGGCCAGATGACTTCATGGGTAAATTCTATTATTTTTAAAATAGTATCAGTCTTTTTCACTCTATCAAAGAAGAGAAAACATATCCAAGCCTACTTCATGAGGCATGAATTATCCTAGTACGAAAAACACCCAAGAACACTGACACTAAAAACAGCTGAAAGACCACTATTCCTGATGCAGCAATTCTCAACAAAATTTTAGCAAATTGAATTCAACTTCCAAACACTACTTGTGTTCATTTCAGTGTTCCACTGTCAATTTTCACACTATATCACTTTTCATAAAATATTATTAAACTTTAAATGTCTTATTTGAAGCTTACTTTTTCTAAATTTCTTTACTTTTGCATTCTATCTATAGACAGAACAGCATAGCTTTCATTATGGGATTAGAAAGTATTTGAAGGGCCCTCCCTGGTGGCACAACGGTTAGGACACAACACTGCAAGTTAGCAGCAGTCTCTTCAGTGTGACTTTGATCATAGCCCCAGATATGATCCACATGGCGCAGCAGACCTCTCCTGTTTGGTGCGCTGCTCCCCTCAGCTGTGTACTTCATCCATCTGCCTGTTCTGCTCCCCCGCTCTGTCTCTGGTGAATCCTACTCAGTTCTGTATGCATAAATAAATGAGAAAGGAAGGAAGGAAGGAACTTGAAGATAGGATGTTGCTGGAATTGCTTTTACAGTATACTTTTATTTTGAAATGAAATGTCTCAATTAACAATACTGATCTTTTTACTTTCAATTTATGCCTCAGGTAGTGATTAGTGATATTTTTCTTTTCAAATGTTTTAACTGTTGATTATTTTTGATGCAGATCAATACTGAGGAACATGTGGATGCATCTGATCAGGAGGTTATCTCTTGGGATCGTAAAATTCCTGAGGACATCCTAAAGGAAATTACCACCCCTAAAGAGGTACCAGCAGAGAGTGTTACTGTGTGGATCGATCCACTTGATGCTACACAGGAATATACCGGTAACTTGAAATTTAAAATTGATTTCAGACTTTAGATTGTCATTGTATATTTTAGAACCAAAATGAGAGTGATATGTACATGGTAGTAGGTATTTTTCCAATCCTAGATAACTTCTCCAGTTAGATTTTAAGATAGAGAACTGGGTTAAGGCAATATCTGAGCTAGATTAGATATCCTCAACCTTATTTCACCTCCAAGGTTCTGTATTAATGGCA